AGCCAACCTTATTTATGCCCTGAGGCTTTAAAGTCCACAAGTTTTTGGGTGACACCCCAGAGCTCTGATCTCCAACCCCGGATGGATGTTCTTGGAGAGCTGTTTCCAGCTGGAGACTGTTTTGTGTGCTGGTGTAAAAGGTATTGGGATCCTTCTGAAACGTGGCAGTAGGAGAAGTGCAGATGCAACCAGGTTTGTTGAGGATTTGTAACTCCTTTAGAGTAAAATCACTAACAAGGGATGACAGGTTTCAGAAGGGAAAAAACCCTTGGATTGGGACTGCTCAAGAGTGGACCAAAAGGACATAGTACATCTGGCCTATGACATCTATTTTGGGAGAAAGAACCCAAAATAAATGTTCTAAAAGTATTAACATTTTCTCTTTTGACTTTAAATGTGACCAGGAACAAATGTTTCACATCCCTTCCATTCCCAAACCTTCTCTTCCCTTTTCATCTAGGGAAAAAAACCCAACACCCTCTTGTGGGATATTAGTGAGCTGATCTAAGGAAACATAGGCAGGTGGAAGATTCAGAGATATTCCACTGCCCTCCAGCAGCAAAAATAATCAGTGGGAATCTTGTCTGCTCTGGACAGAGCTGAACACTTTTGTTGGTGAGGCAGAAGAGCTTGAGGAAGACTAGAAATGCCAGAGCTGAAGTCCCCAAGTCCAGCTGGGTCATGGAATGACTGTGGGCAGATCTTTATCTTAGTCCTACAAATTCCCTGGCTTGTTTCCCCTCTCTCCATCTCACATGGAGCGTTGGCTGAGGCAGAGGTTGATTTTTGTGATTGAGGATTCACTTTGTCCATTTGCAAGCCAAGATTCCTCCGGCACAACGTGGGAATCGCTGTTCCCTGCAGCCCTGCAGGAGTGAGGAGGGACCACAGGCACCTGAGAGGCTGCACCACCCAGGCTGGTGCCAAAAGCATCTCAGGAACATGTGGGTTGGGTGGGAAGGCAGAACAGATGGTTGTGGATGCTGTGTTTAGAAACACGGGACAGGGAGGTGCGGGAGGATTCAATAACTTTAAGGTCATGCACCCAGTGGAAATTCAATCCATGTCCTGCATGACAGTCCACTAGACCTGGCTTTTCTTCTTCTTATAGCCTTTGGCTGGAAAGCAGCACAAGCTGGGGTTGGACACAGGAATTTGGAAGCAAGAGCCTGTGGTTCATGCAGTGGACAGGTGGACCAGTCACACAGAGTTATCATCTGTGGGGAAAATAAGTCTGCCCAAAGGGCTCAGGATGAGTCAGACTAAGGATGCTGTAATTGGATAAAAATACCTGTGCTTTCTTGCAGTTCAGCTAATCCACACGAACAGTTCAGTGGGATTTACTTCCCTATGACAACAAGAGCACAGACTCATGGGATTTTAGGGCAAAAATGTACCAGGTACATCTTTAACAAAAGATGATTTAAGTGAAATCTCTTGGCCACCTTTGTCCTCTGCTCCACTCAGACTGACCTTCACCCATTTCGGCTTAGGAGAAGAATTAATTTGGGGAGTGAATATGCAGCAGGTTGCTCTTCTCTGGGCAGATACCTGTCTCCAAGCAGGCAGCAGGGGGGCTGAGGTCAGCAGAGGCAGCTGAATTTTCATTAGGAACAGATCCTTTTATCACGGTTTACAGCTCCGGACACAGAAATCAAGAAGGACATTGGGCTGCTGCTTTTAACCTTTGTTGTGTCTTTATTCAGTGTGTGACATCATCCTATTGATGAAGGTCAGGTTGATCTCAGGTCTTTTCTGACTCATTGAATATTAGGGATGGCTGGAGGCAGGAGAAGCTGGTGATTTGATGTGACAGGTCAGGAGGGAGCACACCAGCAGTGCAGCAGGACACGGGCTGCAGGAAGGGGTGATGCCATGATCCATTGTGACAAGAGGAGAGCTGGATGGATGGACCAACGGCCTGGAATGAACCCAGCAAGGGCAGGATAGAAAGAGGCAAAACCCTAAAACCCCTTTGGTCTGTGTCCATTCCTACTTCAAGGGGACAAATCTAAAATGACCTTCCTTAACTGCCGGTGGGATCACAGATTTATTGTGTGAGATCCTGTGATATCATGAACCAAGACTCTTCCTTAAAGTACATCTCATTTTGCCCCCTCCCATGGGCAGGGACACCTTTCACCATCCCAGGTTGCTCCAAACCCTGTCCAACCTGGCCTTCAACACTTCCAGGGATCCAGGGGCAGCCACAGCTTTCCTGGGCAACCTGTGCCAGGGCCCCTCACACCTTCACTCACAGTAGAGCATTTCTTCCTAATATCTACCCTAAACCTACATTATTTCAGTATAAAGTCATTAATCTTCTGTCTAAAGATGCAGGGCACTTGTGAACTGCAGTCCAGGCTGGATCCAGGATGTGGCCATCACAGCAGGAGAGGAGCAGGAGCAAGGACTCTGCTCTGCAGATCCGTGGAGAAGAGAGGCAGGAGGCAGGACCTGTGGTATCCATCACTCCACTGCTTGGCCAACCTGGAACTTGCATTTAGCAAAACACTCATTTAAAGACGCCAGGTTTGCTCCCAGGTGATTTTTCCTGGCCCTTCCTCCAAAGGTCTGTTTCTCATGCATTCAGCATCTGAGTATTTTGAGAAATTCCTGTTCCTCCAGGCTCAGGAAGGCAGGGACAGCTGGGAGCTATTTCCTTTCAGCCCTCTTGCCTTCCCATCCTGGGAAATTTTGTGCCAGCTGTGGTCACCTGTTTGATTTCTCTTTCAGTGGCTGCCTTCCTCCACAAATTAATTTTGATTATTTAAGCTTGTCTTGCCTGGCAGGGAGGGATCTCTTAGTGGTGTGAGTTTGAAGAACTCACTCTCTATATCTTCCTCTTTTTCCCCTGCACCGAGTCTAATTTTGTGGTTCCCTGCCTCGCCCAAAAATAACCTTCAGCCCCAATTCTGAACTGTCATATTCATTACATCCCAGCTGTCTGCAGACAGGGCTTATCACTTGCAATCCACTCAGTTACACTTGTGATTAAAACTGATTGCAAATGTGATCCTGGCTGCTCAGGCTGGAAATTGGGAATGTCTTTATAATTTCTGACAGCAGATCATGAAGCCTTGGATGAGCCTGGCAGGGCTGCAGAGCCAGGACAAGATCTTTGCAGGTCGCTGGGAGTGGGAGGAGAATATTTATCTGCGAGAAAGAGAGAGGAGATGGTGATTTGGAAGGAAAAAACATGTAGAAGGGATGATGATGAAGACCCCCAAGTTGAAACCTGAAAAGGCAGGGGGTGAAAATTAAGCTCAGCTCTTGACTGCCAGGACCATCCCTGGGAATAGGTGATGGAGGCAGTTGTGTAGCAGAGAAAACCAGACCACACAAGCCTTCACTCTGTTTTGGGCACCAGTAACTCATGGAATCAGTGTAGATGTTCCTGGGAAAACACCCCTTGTGCTTCTTCCCAAAAACAGTAGCAGCACATCATAGTCTCCAGGACTCTTCTGTACCTACTTCTACTCCAGGCTGTTCCCTTTGCAAACCTGGAGCCATTTGTCCCCTGTTTGATCAGAGTAGGGCTGCAAAATTGTGCTTTGCAAGAGTGATGGAGCCTTGAATGTGATCAGAGAGTTTGTACCTCGCTCCAAACCTGAAAAGGGCTCCACCATCTTTCTGTTGGCCTGAATTTCACAGCTTGATTTCACAGATTTATGCACTTAAAATTAACTACAGAGTTTACATTTATTCAATCTAATCTTTGCTTTATATCATAACCCACTTGTTTTTTCCATTGTGGGTCCAGTGCCTTGTGTTGAACTAAAGCCTGATTTCCAGAGTTTGTTCTGAAGAGACTAAAAAATCCACCATTTTCTTTGGGAGCCCTTTCCAGCATGTTAAATCCTCTCCCTGATTCACCTCAGTCTTTATTCCCTCCAGCCTGACTTGAGTTAAACTTCATTCCCTCTCTGAAGGGAGTCTCCCAACATGTTCCTCGTTATGAACTGAACAGGGTAAGTGTTTTTTGACATATCTCCTGGTCAGAGATTGTCTTCCAGACTTCTGAGTCGTTTTTATTGCCCTCCTCTGATGTCTCTCCAAGCATTGGATGTTCCCTTGCAGGCACAGACATCAGAACCAGGTGTCCCCAATTCCTCCATACCCAGATGTAAAATGACTTGCCTTGTCTAACTCAACATGCCCCTGTTTGTGCATCCAAAAGCTGAATTAACTCTTCTGATGGATTTAGGGCATTGCTTTAAGACCTTTTTTTTAAATAATTGGACTGGCCTGGCTGTCTTGGAGTTGCTGCTTTCCAGCACAGGCTCTCCCCCTCCTGCCCATTCTCCAAGGGGTTTTTTGTTTATAAAAGGAAACCTTTGCAGAGAGCTACGTCTGTGCCCTGTGATCATCTCACTCCAGGCATGGAGCTGATGTGCTCCATGTGCCAGGAGCCCTGTCACAAACATTGTCCTGTAGTCAGCACAGACACAAAAAACAGTCTTTTTTTTTTTTTTTGCTGCAGATTCCCTCTTTCTCTGTATCATCAGAGGCTCTCAAAGTATTGAGATCCCTGGAAGTGTTCAAGGGCAGTTTGGATGGAACTTAGAGCAACATGGTCTAGAGGAAGGTGTCCCTGCCCATGGCATGGGTTGGAACGGGGTGATCTTTAAGGTCCCTTCCAGCCCAAGCCATTCTGTGTCTGTGTTGGTTGTAAGTCAGAGCTTGGCCGACTCAGCCCGTGTCATTCATGTGTAAAAATGCCTTTTCCTGACGTTCCTGCAGAGCTCATTTTCTAAGCCTCATTAGTATTCATATTAATTTGCATACCCAGGGTGCACCGCGGGGCGGAAGGTGCAATCCTGGTCGTAATTTTCACCTTTTTCGTGAGAAAACTGGGATCAGAACATGAATTTTAGTTACTTCATTGATAAGAAGTCTTTCTGGAGTGGTAAAAGGTTGAATTTGGGGTTTCTCCCGGGTCGCCATGTGCTGTAGAGGGACAGCCGTGGGATGGTTCGTATGTATTAGGTGGTAGCACTATACTCCGGTTTGTCTTCATATCGTATAAATCTTTCGCCTTTTACTAAAGATTTCCGTGGAGAGGAACAAGTACGAGTACAAACTAATTTTTTGAGGCTTCACTGAGGTGGAGCTTCTCTCTTGCAGTGAAAAATCAGAGAAATGTCTAGATGTTTCTGCAATGACTGAAAGGAATAGTCAGGACAGAAATTCCTGTTATGGGTGGGGGTGGTGTTCTCAACCACGACTTCTAGGAGGCTTTTGTTATAGTCCCCTATGGTCAAATTGCAAAGACATGGATTTGAGGGGTGGATCATTGGTATTTTCTGCATCCAGGCCTGGGGTCTTCAGCACAGGAAAGTTGTGGAGCTGCTGGAGTGGGACCAGAGGAGGCCTCGGAGATGCTGCAAGGGCTGGAGCCCCTCTGCTCTGGAGCCAGGCTGGGAGAGCTGGGGGGGTTCACCTGGAGAATAAAAGGCTCCAGGGAGACCTGAGAGCCCCTTCCAGGGCCTAAAGGGTCTCCAGGAGAGCTGGAGAGGGACTTGAGACAAGGGATGGAGGAACAGGACAAGGGGGAATGGGTTTAACTGAAAGAGAGTAGGTTTAGATGAGATACTGGAAGGAATTCTTGCTTTTGAGGGTGGTGAGGCCCTGGCACAGGTTGCCCAGAGAAGCTGTGGCTGCCCCTGGGTCCCTGGAAGTGTCCAAGGCCAGGCTGAACGGAGTTTGGAGCAACCTGGTCTCATGGAAGGTGTCCCTGCCCATGGCAGCTGGTTGGAATTGGATGATCTTTAAGGTTCCATCCCACCCAAACCATTCCATGATTCTATTCTTATCTCTAAAACAGACCTTGGTGCCAAGGGAAAGAAATAGCTCCTCCTAGGGGGATGTACCTCCAAAATTATGGGTAGGACTTGCCAAGCTAAGTTGTGTGTTCACCATAGTGGCACCTTTCTTGAAGTATTTTCCAGCATTTGGGATCATTTTCATCATAATTAATTTTTAAGGTTAGAAAAAGAAGATTTTACACCATTCACCCTCCTCGCCTTTAAGAAACTGGTTTCCTGCCTTTATTCTTTTGCTTGTCTTCATTTCCTGCCTTCATTTCCCCTGCTTTTCAAAGAAGCAACGTTTTCTGTGTGCAAGTGAGACCCAAGGTGATAAGTTTTCACTCCTAGAAAAAAACCCTCCTTTTCTGGGTGAAGTGGCATCTGTGTAACAGCACAGGGAAATGTTATTATTTGTCCTGAACAGCCCAGACTCAGCCCCTGCTTCAGCACAGGCTGCACTAATTGGGACACTAAGCAGAGCACTGCATTTATTTGGATTAATGAAGAACCAGAGGGAAGTGTCCCAGGTGGGAAGTGTCCAGGGCACACCACAGACCCTGCCACGAGATGCCTGGCTCTCAAGGTCCTGGCTTGAAGTGTGTGGCTGCCAACAAATCATTGCTGTCATGTTGGCTGTGGTACAAACACCACAGACATCCGATCTTTTCCTTTGGCTCCTGCCCTGGAAGTCCCTCCTGTCATCATGTCACTGTGAGTGCAGTCACTCTCTCGATCATTCTCCACAATTTTGTGGCTGTTGTTGTGGTGAATTTGCTGCTCTGGAGACTCTAAACTCACCTTGAAGACCTGTGTGGACTTCCTGGGTAGGTGAAGAAGGCTGGAGGGAAGATGCCTGGTTTTATAGACTGTTAGAAATGAAAATAAACTCCGTGGCATTGAATCTGTGGGAGGAGGATGATTGTTCTCTGCAAAGACACAGTTTGGAGGGACAGAACATTTCCACATCTGCTGTGGGATCTGCAAACAGTCCCTCTATGGCAGACACTCATAGCCACTCATCCCTCATATGAGTGGAACAAAAATGAGGGGAGTTTGCACCATCAGGCTCACGTGTTCCTTTTATGACTCTAGGCCTGCAGATCCAGCCTGGTGCCCAAAGCAGACCCCTGCTTTTAAACTTACAAAAAATAAGGGGCACAGGTTCCACTACAGGATGCCTGGGACGTTGGGTTTCAGTGCCTCAGCCAAAATTAACATTCAACTTGCAACCAAGAGGCTGCAAGTGACAGCAGCAGCTTTGAAGGTCACCTCGCCTCCAAGTAAATAAATAAATAGTAAATAAGAAAGCAGGCAGCAATGAATAAAGCAGGCAAAGCCAGAAGCATTCCACTGGCTTGGACTTGGTGGGGTTTTTTTATTATTTCTTCTCTGCTCTCTTCACTTTCATTTCCCAAAGGTCGGTGCTAATAGGAGACCCCTCTGATTGCTCATGCACAGTGCACACCCTGCCAGGCTGCCTGTTCCAGAGCCCCTGATACCAATTCAGAGCCTAAGCTGGGAGCAAAACAGTGTCATCTCCACAGCTGATTACTTTAATGAGACTTTTCTAGCAGTACCAGGCCATGACAGGTGGGAGGATCTGCTGCAAACACTGTGTTTGTCTCTTAGAGCAGAATCTGTGCCCTTCTTGCTAAAGAGAAGTCGCGGTGCCAGGTGTTTGTTTTCCGTGCTCCTCTCGGCCATGCCTAATGAGATCCTGGCTCTGCAAGCTCAGAGTTGACTTTTTCCAACAGTTTTTCCAGCTTGGCCACATGGCCGGGGAAAGAGACGGTCTGAAATCACGCCAAAGCTATTTCTGATTGTGTTCGTGCCATGCCGGACCCATCTGCTGGATCTGGAGAGGTGCTCACAGAAGGAGGTGTGGGAGGTAGAGCCCTTTCTTCTTGAGCAGAGCATCCAATGTCAAGTGGGGACTCTGCCTCACCTTTCAAAGTGCCCGGTCTCCTGGGCATCCATCCTGCACGTGTGCTCCAGGGCTCCCTTCCAGGATGAGCCAGCGGCTCTCTGCAGGCTGAAATCTGGGCGAGCTGACAGGACAATTTCTCGGGGATGCTCTCCAGAGAGACACGGTGCACACGCTGCACTAATTGAGCCCAGTGCTGTCCCAACAGACCATACTCACGCTGAGAAGTTTCTGTCACACTCCAGCTCACAAAACACATACTCTGGCATCAAATTTTGAAAATAACACATGGTTGGGCAGGACAAAACCCTGTGGTTTTACCAGGACTAAATATTTTGTCACTGTCACCAGCTACTCCCATACATAGTCCAGCAGAAGTCAGAGCTGGATAATGGGAAAACTTTTTATCTTCCTAAAGGAAAATGCCCTTGGAACACGCTCATATTCCCTGAACACACAGATCTTGTCCTTCTTGGTCTGCCCACTCATGTCACTGACACTGTCACTTTGAGATGAGACCAAACAATCCATCTACAGTTGAAGAGGCTGAGGACACTCACTCAACATCTCATCCTGCTGCTGTTCACCTCACCTGTTTGTGTTGGATAGATTTATATAAAATACTAAATATATAAAAATATATATGTTAATATTTTATATATTACATATATTTATATAAATACATGTTAAAATATAGATGCCTTCTTAGGGAAAACTGGAGTAACCATGAGTCCCATCATAAGACCCTATAACTTCAAGAAGCAATGAATCCTCTGAAATAAGGTACCCCTAAGGGAATGAGGGACAGTGGGGACAGGCAAAAGACCTTGTAGACACTCTGAGAATAACAAAAACTGGGCTTTGGTATTAAGGAAATACAATCTGATGGTGTTTCCTGTTACAGCTCAATGCAACAGCTCCTTCCTGTCATGACCAGAAGGTTTCCCACAGAATCTGTGGCTGCCCCATCCCTGGAAGTGTTCAAGGTCAGGTTGGACAGGGCTTGGAGCAACCTGGGATAGTGGAAGGTGTCCCTGCCCATGGGAGGGGGTAGGAACTGGATGATCTTTAAGGTTCCTTCCAATTCAAGCCTTTCCATGAGTCTGTGATTCCTGGAGGAACACGGCCTGTCAGTCATGCTGAACACACCCAGCTGAGGGGTGTATTTCAGCATCACCTTCCACAGACCCCCTCCCTCACTTCCACACTCTCCTCCCCTTGTGCCAGAAAACAATTTCTAATTCTTCATTGGACAAAGGTTCCAAGTTTCCAGGGATTTGCATGTGAAATGTTCCTGTTTATCTCAGGCTTGAACGAGCCATCAAAATGTTCATCAGGGATCTGCCTACAGATATGACCAGCATGCTTCCCAGAGAATTTGTGGCTGTCCCCATCCCTGGAAGCATCCAAGGCCAGGTTGGACAGGGCTTGGAGCAACCTGGAATAGTGGAAGGTGTCCCTGCCCATGGCAGGGGGGTTGGAACAAGATGATCTTTAAGGTCCCTTCCAACCCAAACCATTCCATGATAACAAACCCTCACCCCATGACTTAATATGTGTGATGTCAAATATTGGGAGCAAGAAAGCTGAATCATCTGTGAACAGCTCACCTCATGGACTCATCCATAACCTCAGTCTGATCCATCCCCTCAGACTGATCCATCCCCTCAGCTCCTTCCAAGCACTGCAGGGAGATGTTCCAATCAGGAGTTTTGTGACTTCCAGCTTTTCCAAAAGCCCAGGAAGGACAATGTGGACCCCAACATAAATCACAACCCACTGAAGCTCTCCATCCCCTCACTGCAAGTCTGATGGGGTGGCTCCAGTCCTGGCCCTCCCTACGTGCTGGCATGTGTCTGCCTCCCCAAAACTGGCAGGAGTCATCTTCACAGAAGGTGGAAACTGGCTGGCAGGAGACCAGGTGATCTTCTCCTTATTTCCTCACCATTGACTCTTCCCCAATCAACATGCTGATAATTGTTACCCCTTGGGCCAGACATGAGTAATCAGCAATTTTCTTCTTCCTTCCTTATTTTATTATTTTTTTAAGACCAGCTGGGAAATGTCTGTCTCTCCTTCAGTAGAGTTTGAAAGCTCCTCCATCTGGACAATCTAATTCCCGATGTAAATACAGGGAAAGGAGGGAAGAGAAGAATGGTGTCCCAAGGGAGCATCTCCACATCCCGCTGTCTCTGCCTGAGGTGACTTTCTCCCCCTTCCCTCATTGTCCTGGCCTTTAGGAACAGAGCCAGTCCCCCTGCTGAAGGGGAACTGAAGAGGTGGCTGTAAATTGAAATTAGCATTTAGCTCAAGGAGTACAAAGCAATGATTAATGGCTTTTTAATGCTCCACCGTTCCACACTCAGAGCACTTTGTTTTAA